TACTTAATAAAAAGAAAAACACGAATATCATCTTTGAGACTTGATGAGTCATTATTTTTTGAAGAAATTTTTTATTAAAATACTAAATAAATTTAGTAAATTACTAGTATTTACTAAAATACTAAATAAAATTGAAGAGACTTTTTAATTTATAATCTTAGTTGTTGATAAAATTATAGTTGGTATTTATTTGTACACACTATATCAAAAAGCAAATTAATTTACATACAGAAAAATAAAAGAAAAAAATTTATACACTTCTAAATTTAGATTATAAGTTTAACGGTGGTTTGTTAAAATTATGCATTATAATATAGCAAATAAATGAGAAAAATAAAAAATGATAGTCTTAACATATTTTATTTACTCTTAAAAAAATACTTAATAAATAAACCAGGAAAATATCAAAACCAGAGGAATATATGTGGGAAAACTATCGAAAAATAAATACTGGGAAACAATGATCAGTAAAATAAAGTTTATAGTATTTTGTTTAGGTTCACTCTTGCGAAGGTGTGCAATATATATTGAGTATTGTGATTTATGGTTCAAACATTGATATGAGATATACATATCAGTTCGACTTACTGCGAAAAATAATGAACCAAGTGAATCGGCAGGTCGGATAAAGACCGAAGGCGCTACAGGTGAAGAGTTCTCAGGTCGACGAGGACGTCGATCCAAGAAGCACAGTCAGGTCGAGCTAGTGTCGTCAAATAGCCTGGTTAAAACTCGACTTGAAGACATGACGGGTCGTCGGATCGACCAGATGAGCAGAGCATATGAGCTCAAGATACACTAGCAGCACTCCACCTCGAGGTAATTTAAGTCGGTCCCACGATTAGACCGTCTAATAAGACAAACTAGTGGATAGAAATGAATATTATTAACATAAGAAACACAAGTGGATAGCGCCACGTGGCCTAACAGAATTTCGCTGTTCGGACGAGCAGTTCGAGCAGCATATCCGGGCAGTCTGGAGCAACAAGATAATACACCTCTAGATAAAGGGGCGAAGCATGTTCATTGCATCATTACATTCTCTACACACTCTACATACATATATTCATCGTCTTTATCTGTGACTGACTTGATCGTCAAAATACTAACACCGAGAATCTCTCTCGGCCCATTTTAGAGGTCCACGATCAAGTCAGAGAGTAGACCCAGATGTTTATCTCAAAGCCTCCAACACCAAATCCTACATCAATATGTCCAATTCATTTTCTCTCTCCCTTTAAACCCACAGTCTAAGTTCTCTCCCCTTCATCTCGTTTTACTCTTGTGAGAATCAATAATCAAGTGTGTGAACTGTGATAGGAGAGTGCGCGTGTGAATAGATGGACATCACCTTGTTTGAATCTTTGTGCGCAGATGAACTACGAAATTTGGACATAGAGAAGATTTGAAGAAAATATGACTGTTTAATAACTTTAATCTTATTGGAAGTTACAAAAGGACATCAAAATAGTAAAACATCAAAGCATAAATGTACCGCATGAAACAAAATGAATCAGAGATCCTTAGCTACGGGCTGTTAGATTAACTTCAAGCATTGTCTCTCGGAAGACATGGAAACCGGGATGCTCTGTTCGAATCTGAAGAAATTGCACGGATCAACCTCGGCTTTCACCCGAATAAGCCTGTCGAAATTACTCAAGTAGTACTTCGGACCCCACAAATACGGGCAACTGCAGTTGGAGTCGTCGCAATTAGTACTCGACCGCCCAATATCGAGATCCTTATAGTTAACATAAGCTTCTCTCGCCCTTCCTCCGCTCGGAATATAACGGCCCATAGTCCCGTACACCCTCCTCATAAACTCCATGTTCTTAGCCTCCGTTTCCAGGCTCTCCGCATCACTCCAACTGACGACATACTGTATCATACCCTGCACCTTCCGGTGTGGGTACGGCGTATCCTCTTCCCCGGCACTTGCCATCACCCCACCAAACGGATTCCATATCGTCAACAACGAGAATCCCTGCCTATGGAAATCGACCAATTGCTCGAGTCCCTCAACGGGTACGTTCCCCCTCGGAAAATCAGACTTCGCTTTGAAAGCATTCACAAACGCGGGCTTCCCCGTGAGCAAATACTCGGGCTTCGTACCATTTGGGTACCCGCCGGTGAAAACCACCGACTCGATCCACGTCATCTCCGCGCATTCCGACTCGTCGAGCCCTAGCTCGGGGAAACTTCTCCTCATAACCCGGAGAAGCTCGTCTCGTTTCCCGAGAAACACTGCGTTGTAGACCGAAAT